ACCAAGGAAAACTCCAACATGGAAATGGACACCATCACCCATGGTTCCTTCAAAGTACCATGCTTCCAGAATTCCAAGCCCTTGGCTGCCAATGAACTTTTGCAGTACCAGAAGGCAGAGGACACCCAAGAGGACATTCCTGCCCAAGGGAGCCAAGGCAGCGCACCTAAGAAGAGAAGGACCACTTGATTGAAACCAACAAAGGCTTAGCAAGGGTGCACATGTGTTTCTTCCAAATCTGGTGGGGAAAAAAGCTGCTGCTGCATGCTGGGTGCCTTGAGGCATTGCATACCAGTTCCTGGGAATGCAGATTCCATTTTAAGTTTTTGTAGCATGAATATCTTTTACTTTGGTAATTTTGCCTGTGGAGGCTAAGCAGTTTGGAATTGGGCAGCCAAGTGGCATTCCACCCCCAGTTGTATCATATCCAGCTAGTTGCCCTTTGTGGCATTGCATTTTCTTACCCAATAATTTTGATAAGGCCAGCCAAATTGTGGAATTGCATTTTTAGCCAGCATGGCATTGCATGCAACAATCATGTCATAGCCACACATGGCATTTCAAGTGTGTAGCCATATATGGCATTCCAGTGCTTGGCCAGTGACCTTGGCCATTTCAAGTGTTTGCAATTGCAGCCACTGCTCCAAGCATCCAAGCTGACCCATTGCGAACCCAAGCCTGCTGTGTGTAGCCATGCCATCCATGAAGGTTGCCATGAAGAAGGCCAGTGCCATGGAGAAGCCCATGAAGAAGCCCAGTGCCATGGAGAAGCCCATGAAGAAGCCCAGCGCCAAGGATGGTGGTGTCCCACCACCATTGGTTGGGCCACTGATGGCACTCCAATTGTGCCCACCCAGGCTGTCCAAGTTGGGTGTGGTGCCACAGGCTGTACCAACTGGCCAGCTGCCAGGTGTGTGGATTGGCCTGGCTTTCCAGCTACCTGGCCCATGGTACCACCTTGAAGTATGTCCCAGAGCAGGACCAGGAGGTTGCAGCCAAGGTGATGCAGGGCATCCATGAGGCCAGCAGGGCCATCCCCAATGCTTCTGGCATGAAGACCATGAAGAAGACCATGAAGAAGACCATGAAGAAGACCATGAAGAAGACCATGAAGAAGACCATGAAGGCCAAGAACTGAAGCGCCCATGGGAAGCCAGGACATGGCACTGGTTTTTGAAAAAAATGTGCAGCTTGGGCAAGGGTGTGCTGCAGCCATATTGTGGCATTACATTGTATGCAGTGCCATGCTGGCATTCCATCAATTGCCAGCTGTCATTTCCTGCAACCATTTTCACAGTTTGGTTGCCTTCAAGGCATTATATTGGGTACACTGTGCCAGCTCCACTGCATCAACTCCAGTTCTTGCCAGGTATTGGCATTGCATCTCCCAAGATTGCCAGCCAGTGGCATTGCATTGTTTTTCTTTGCCCACTGCTGGCATTACATTTTCATGCCAAGTCATTGAGTGGCATTGCAATTCCATTTGTTGCCATTGGATGGCACTGCATTTCCAAACCTTGCCAGCTTATGGCAGTACATATGTAAATGGGTTTGCATCCACATCTGGTTGTCCCCATGCAATGCCGCAATGTTTTTGTTTATATGGAATACATGTGAGATAGTTATGGCTTGTAGTATTCATACAGTCCAATCCATCTAACACCATGCAGAATGTGCAGTAGCATGTCATTGTTTTCATTTACATGATAGCACCATTTGTGCCCAAGACCTTGTTCCAGCCACCTACCATCATTTCATGTCCATGGCATCCTCCCAAGTGCTGACCATTGATGCCTACTCCTTGACACACAAGACCACAGGGGAACCCACATTGCAGATCCATTTCAATGATGGCTCCAAGAAAGAGCAGCTTGTTTTTTTTTGCCACTGCTGGGATGATACCATTGTTTTTTTTTTCCATGGGTGTAGTTGCCCATGATTGCACTGTTGTGCCAGCCCAGGTATCCAACTCCACCACTTCATCCAGAAGGTCCAAGGAGTATGTGGGTCCATATCCTCCATGTGGATGACAGCCTGGTCCCATACAAACAGTATTTACCACCAGGGACCAGTGAGGATCCAACTGGCATGCCAGTGGAAATGATTGAAGCCACCAGGCTTGCCAGGCAGCTCAAAGAAGCCAATGCCATGGAAGGCATCCAATTAGCCCACAAATGGTTTTCCTAAACCATGGTTGCAGTGGAGGGAAAAGTGAATTGTGCATTCACCTTAGCCAGTCATGGCATTTCACAGCTGCTTGGGGGCAGGTTCCATGTTTGGCCAACTTTTGGCATTACATTAAGTGTCTTGGTTGGCCACTAAGGTTACCAAGCCTTCTCTGCCTTGAATGGCATTGCAATCCATGTTTACTGCAGTTTTTATTGTATTGCCTGCCACCTCATGGCATTGAACCATCCATGCAAATTGTTGTATGGTTGTTTGGCAGCGCATTTGGTTTCCATGTCATAACATTGATTCATAATCAGATGTGCCCAGTCCAGTGGTAAACAATATAATATATTCCATGAACCAAAGTTGGACTTGTAGAGAGTGGTGTTGTCCTGGTGTTTCTTCGATGGTGTGTGCCATGAAATGGCATTGCAATTGGCCCAAATGGCATTTCATTGTTTGTGTTACCCATGGTAATCCACAAGGGTTGCTTGTCATAGGCATTGGACATTGTTTCTCTGTATGAATTTTGGCCAAGGTGTCCATTGAACATATGAAACATTTCAAAAATGATATGCATTATGGTTTCAGGAGTTCTCATGTCATCTTCTGGGTTTGGCTATATTGTTTTCATGTATCATTTATTCAATGGGTTTGTTATATTGTTCATGCAGTTGGTTTCATGTTGGTTTCCAGTATTTGGTCATGGTTCAGTAGCTTGCAATTGGTTGCATTTGACTATTGGTTTGATTGCTGATATATATATATATATTATATATACAGATATATATATATATATATATATATATGTATTTGAGCATTTAGCAATGTATTGTATAATCATTGTCATAGCTGTTTTGGGTTTGCCAAGCATTGCATGGCATCATTCCATATGGCAATGAATCATTTTGGCTCCAAATTTTGGTTAGGTGCCATTGGTCACCAAGGCATCCAAAGAACGAAACAGATACAAACAAAATCACCAACAATACATTCCAAGCAGGAAAACACCAATAGGATGTCGATGTTCAATATTTTTGTTAAGTTCAGAATTCTGAACTTAAAATTCAAATTTTACTTGTTAAGTTCAGAATTCTGAACTTAACTATTAAATTTTGGCAGTTAAGTTCAGAATTCTGAACTTAACTATCAAATTTTGGTTTCTAAGTTCAGAATTCTGAACTTAACTAAAACAAAATATGTTCAAAATAGTTGCATTTTTACATTTATTTAAGTCATATTTTCATTTTCATATATCTATATAAGATTATTACTAAACAACTAAATGCAAATAATTAAACATACAATTAACAATACAGGCAGCTTTCACCAAAGCAAAATTTTCACCACAGTTTCACCATTCGACCAGCCATGATGTACCAAAGGACCCTCCAGAAGTTGACCACTGAAGAGTTCATCACTGAAAGTGATGATGAGGTGGTTGCCATGTGGGAAAGGAACCACATGGCAAACCATGATGAGAGCACAGACCAAGCCTACATGAATGCCATCCAAGAGGTACATCAGATGTCCATGGAGGACTCCGTGGAAGCCAACTTAGTTATGGAGGATATAGCCATAGAGATCCAGTGGTACAAAGACATGGATGAACCCATGGAACCAGCAAAGGATGCATGGGCCAGGTACTGGCACCATCATCCCAGACCAGGCCAGGAGGTACCAGCAGACCAAGGTGCAGATGCATCCAGCAGCACCATCCCCACAGCAGGTGCAGCAAAAGCCAAATCCATTGGCACCACTGCCAAGGCAAAAGCACCAAAAGTAGGAGCCAAAGGCAGCTGTGCCAGTCCAGCAAATGCAATGCCAGGTGGTGCCATGCCAGCCACATCTGATGCAGCAGCATCAGCATCCAGACCAGATGGTTCCAGCAGGCCACCAGAGCCAGCCATACCACCAAGAACTTCCAGGCCAGATGCAGCCACCAACCAAGCCAGGCCAGCAAAGAGCAATTACCAAACAGGTTGGAGGGCCAAGATGGTGTGGATGCTGGCCATGTATGAGAACCATGATTGGGATGCCCTGGAAGCCAAGATTCCCATCTTGTGGGACCAGCTGGAGAAACCACATGGCTTCCAGGAGTGATGCCCCAGGGAAGTGGGCCACTAAAGCCCAGGAATGGCTCCAAAACTACCACCAGCGCAAATGGCGGAAGCTCCAGCACCTCCATGAATGGTGGACCTTGGATTCCACCCTGAGGGCTGACATAGCCAACCACCATGAGGCCATGGAGAACCAAGGGTACGACCCAAGGCAGCCAGACTGGGCAAGGAACCAGTAGAGACCACTTTCAAGCATATTTCTAAAAAAGAGTGTGCTTGCCAGCCTCTGTGTCAGCCACCTGAAGCCTTCCATGGCATTACATGCTGTCAGCCCGCAATGGCATTTCCAACCCTGGCAATGTTACAATTCAAGCAAGTGACCAAGTTTGATGCTACTCTGCCATTGATGGCGTTTCACAATCAGCCACTCATGGCATGTCCTAGGTTAATGTCATCCAATTGTTTGCCATTGTTGCTTCTTTGAATACCCGCAGACCGATACCATCAGCATTGCTTCTTTCCCAAGTAGCATGCCAGCACATGCCCCATATATAAGATTGGTTCCCTCTTTGGTTTGTTGCAAGCATTCCCAAGTTGCATGTGCCAACCTTATGGCATTAAATTCTCCAAGAATACATTGCACCTATAACCAATGTCAGAATTCAGCACAATTTCTTTGTGGGTCACAGGCACACTGTTTCCAGAGGCCACCCTAATCACTGTATGCTTTTTCTTACAGTTCAAGCACCAGCCAGCAGCCCAAGCTTACCAATGCTTCTGAGAGCCAGGGATGACTCAACTTTGGAAAGCTGCAGATTTTGTCCAGGAGCTAGACCATTTGGAAAGCTTGCACATAGCCACCCAGAAAGCAAGTTGGTGCAGACACTGGCCACATCCTTGTGTGCCAAGTTGCAAGCATCCAAGGAATGGACAAGCACCACCATCATCCAAGTCCTGGAGAAGCTCGACCAAGCCAGCTTGCCCAATGATTTGAAGAAGACAATCCAAGATGCCATTGACCAAATAGACTTGGCTGGCACTGGCCACTTGAAGACAGTCATTGCAGGCCAGCACATTGAAGGCTTTAGCCACTATGTGTCCAAGGAGGATTGGGCCAGGATGGACCAAGCACCAGCCAACACAGTGCATACCAAGCACCAGCCAACACAGTGCATGTCCATTATTGCCTCCAGGTTGAGATCCATGGGGTTTGTTTCCTTGAAGGAAGCTACCAAGGTGGAAGCCATGTCTGTGGTGTTCTTTTGTTTGGTCCACAAAGGCCAACAACCACAGCCATCCCCACAAACCAGGTATGCCTTGGTGGAAGAGTTTGCTGCTGTGTTTGCCAAGACTCCACCAGGCACAGTGCCAAGTGCGAACAGATTCCCAGCCAGCCCAGCTAAACTTGGAAAGGCATGGCTAGACCAAGTCTATGGTGCGGATGAGCCAGCCATGGTGTCCATTGCTGGTGGCTGGAAAAGCATGGTGACTTGATTGCGTTAATGTTTTTTTGTTTTGACACTATTTGACCACAAGCTCCATTTTGGTGAGCCAAGGTGATTTGCAGAAAAGGAAACAAACTTCTGCAGGGAAGCCAAGTTTCTCCCAACCATGCTGCACAGCCCTTGCCTGCCACCAATGGAGAAGCCAAAGTCTTTGGCTTGCTTAGCCAGCTGCTGGACAGATTTGCACCACAGGAGCCCTAGCTCACATATGTCCAGAGACCAGCAGGCAGCCATGCCCAGGGCCAGTTGGCTCTACCTGCACCACAGCCTGCCCAACCTGCAGAAGTTACTCCAGCTGCTACTGTGCCAGCAGCAGTGCCTGTGGCAAACCAAAGCCAGGAAGCCACAGCAGCTGCTGCAACCACAGCACCAGAAAGCCAAACTCCCAATGAGGCTGGAATTTGTCATATTTGTTCTTTGCCTTCAAATCAAGCTGAGGCAGAAATTGCAGATTGCATGTGCACAATCCATATTGCTACTGAATAGGTGATTGAGGTCTTAGGGCATCATAATTGTTTGCCATATATAGCATTGCATCCCAGGTTATTGTCAGCCACTGCCATGGCAGGTGAAGACACCACAAGCCAATGATTTGGCCCAGTATGAGCAAGATGCTTTCAACAAATTGGCCAAAGCAAAAGCTGGTGCCAAAAGCAAGGCCAAAGCAGCCTCCAAAGCAGGTGCCAAGGCAAAAGCCACTGCTGCACCAAAAATACAAAATACTATTTCCAAGGCAGTTGCCAAGCCTGGCCCAAAAGCTGGCCAAGCCAAGCCCCAAGACTTTGGCTATTATGGCACACCAGGCTCCTGAGGCCCATTTGGCTGTGTGAGGTGCAGGGGGAACACCAAAGGCTGTGAGACTTGCATCCAGCCAGGATTTAAAGGCCCCAGGTCCAAGTCCAGGGACCAATGGGCCAAGTACAAGATGGCCTTGGGTGGCAAATTCAGATGAGAAGCCATTGGCCAAAGGCCCATAGCCATTTGTATGGGGTAGCAAAGGGATTTGCCAATGGGGTTCACAAATGCGCTTGGCCCTGCCACAAACCAAGGTGACATATGGCATTGCTGATATATTTTTGCAAGAGCAGCCATGTGCTTTGGCATTTCATTGCAGCAGCTTTACCATGGAGTTGCATGTAGCAGCTTTCCACCTGCAGCCACCTTGGCATTGCACCATTTTCTTAGTGGTTGCAGCCATTGTGGCATCTGTAAAGCCAAATCTTGGCATGTTCTGCTATTTTCTGCCTGGTGGCATTGCAGAATGGCAAAGACCCAGCATGTGTTTTGTTTCCTGCAAACCATTAGTATGGCCAAGGAAAAACAGGTCAGGCTTATCCTTTAAACCTCTTGGTTCAAATTCCTGCTGCAAGGCTAGGATCCTGTCACATGAGCATTGAATGCAGCCAAGCGTCCAGGCTATCAACTCACAACACGATTATGCAAACTTGGCAATATAGCATTGTAGTTGTTATGCTTACAGTGTGTTTGCAATGTGCACACATACTTATATGTAGAGAAATATCCCTACCACTGGCTCAACAGATGTTTTACAGCCACAGCAATAGTTTCCACCAATTGAACGTCCAAGCCATGGCATCTGACTCCAGCAGGCCACAGAAGCTTGCCAAGCTTCAACAGTTCAAGGCATCTCTCCCACACCATAGCCAGACAGCCCTACATGCTATGGTTCAAGAGGCCAAATCCAGTGGCCTCCCAGAAGTGAGCTCTGCCAAACACCAAAGGGAAGCCAGGAGAGAACTTTTGAAGACATGCCATGGAGGTGCTTTAGGCCCTTTGATCCAAGAAGCACCTCTACAGCAAGTTGATGGCAGCCCATCAACCTTTGTTTTCACCAGCTTGCTCACATACCTATCAGCATTGTTCTCCAGAGGAAACAGTTTCCAGAAGCTTTTGGCCAGCAGGCATCAAGCATGCCCTTCTTCAACCAGCAGACCATGGAGGCTGGTGATGTACTTGGATGAACTGGTTCCAGGTAATGCTTTAGGTCGTGCAGAAAGAACTAGACGACGGTTGGCCCGAGAGCGAAAAAGGTGTTTTTCAAGCAGCTCTGAGGATAGTAGTCGTAAAAGATAGTCGGTGAATAGTTGGTGAATTTTATATGAGCTATGGAAGGATTTGGTGTGAAAAAATAAGATTGATCAAGAAGAGGATACTTGGTAAAGGGCATCAGATGACACGTGTCTTGCAACCACAGAGAGAAAGAGAGAGAGAGAGAGAATGAATGAAAGGGGGGGAGTAGAAAGAAAACATGGAGAAATATAATGTGAGCAACAAAAGTGCACAGGAGGCTCGGTACCATGAGTCTGCGAATGACATGTGTTATCTCATTTTATTATGGTAATTCCCACACACATTGCAGAAAAAAGCTCGGCACCATCATTCCGTGAACGCGAAGAAACCCGACGCTTTTATACAGAGACGCTTTTACCCACAGACGCTTTTACGCACAGACCCTTTGACACAGAGAAGCTTTTACACACAAGAGCTTTTACACACAGACGCTTTTACACACAGACGCTTTTACACACAGACGCTTTCACACACAGAGGTTTTTACACACAGACGTTTTTTTCACACAGACGCTTTTACACACAGACGCTTTTACCCACAGACGCTTTTACGCACAGACCCTTTTACACAGAGAAGCTTTTACACACAAGAGCTTTTACACACAGACGCTTTTACACACAGACGCTTTTACACACAGACGCTTTCACACACAGAGGTTTTTACACACAGACGCTTTCACACACAGAGGCTTTTACACACAGAACCTCCTGTACACACAGACGCTTTTACACAGACACTTTTTCACACAAACGCTTTTACACACAGACGCTTTCACACACAGACTCTTTTACACACAGACGCTTTTACACACAGACCTTTTTACACACAAACGCCTTTACACACAGACGCTTTTACACACAGACGCTTTCACACAAAGATGTTTTTACACACAAACGCTTTCACACACAGAGGCTTTTACACACAGAACCTCCTGTACACACAGACGCTTTTACACAGACACTTTTTCACACAGACGCTTTTACACACAGTCACTTTCACACACAGACGCTTTTACACACAGACGCGTTTACACACAGACGCTTTTACACACAGACGCTTTTACCCACAGACGCTTTTACGCACAGACGCTTACACAGAGACTTTACACACAGACTCCTTTACACACAGACGCTTTTACACACAGAAACTCGTACACACACAGACGCTTTTACACACAGAGGTTTTTACACACAGCCAGACGCTTTTACACACAGACGCTTTTACCCACAGACGCTTTTACGCACAGACGCTTTCACACACAGACGCTTTTACACACAGACGCTTTTACACACAGACGCTTTTACACACAGAAACTCGTACACACACAGACGCTTTTACACACAAAGACTTTTAGACCCTGTTACACACGGACGCTTTTACACACAGACACTTTTACACACAGACACTTTTACACACAGACTCCTCACAGAGACGTTTACGCACAGAAACAATCACACAGAAACTCCTTTACACACAAATACCGGACCCGTGAAATCGCAATTTTCCTCAGTTTTTGACGTCCAACGTTCATTTTGCGCGAAAGGGTTGCGATGGATACTTCAAAATCGCATTTTTTCCTCAGTTTTTGTGACATCCAACGTCCATTTCGTGCGAAAGGGTTGCGCCGTGACACCTTAAATCGCAATTTTTCCTCAGTTTTTGACGTCCAACGTCCGAAAGGGTTGCGCGCGACACCTCAAACTCGCAATTTTTCCTCAGTTTTTGACGTCCAACGTCCATTTCGTGCGAAAAGGTTGCGATGGACTAACTAGAATCGCAATTTTTCCTCAGTTTTTGACGTCCAACGTCCATTTCGTGCGAAAGGGTTGCGCTCGACTAACTGGAATCGCATTTTTTCCTCAGTTTTTGACGTCCAACGTCCATTTCGTGCGAAAGGGTTGCGCTCGACTAACTGGAATCGCATTTTTTCCTCAGATTTTGACGTCCAACGTCCATTTCGTGCGAAAGGGTTGCGATGGGCCAAGTTAGTTTTTGACGTCCAACGTCCATTTCGTGCGAAAGGGTTGCGTTTTGTGGCGCTCCGGCGGCACCGCCCCCGCCTTAAGAGAGAATAGAAAGAAGAGCGAGAGGAGATCTGCAGATGTGAAGGTGTGAAGATGTAGATCTGCAGATGTGGGGGTGTGAAGATGTATATCTGCAGATGTGAAGGTGTGAAGATGTAGATCTGCAGATGTGAGGGTGTGAAGATGTAGATCTGCAGATGTGAAGGTGTGAAGATGTAGATCAGCAGATGTGAGGGTGTGAAGATGTAGATCAGCAAATGTGAGAGTGTGAAGATGTAGATCAGCAGATGTGAGAGTGTGAAGATGTAGATCAGCAGATGTGAGATGATGTAGATCAGCAGATGTGAGAGTGTGAAGATTTAGATCAGCAGGTGTGAACGTGTGAAGATGTAGATCAGCAGGTGTGAAGGTGTGAAGATGTAGTATAACGGCTGCTTTTTTACGAAGAACCCTTCGCAGGCGCTCTCGGGAAAAAGTTGGGCATGGTACTGCAGCTTTCTGGAATTTGGCCAACATTTGCATTCCACAGACAGTTGGCTGACCATAGGTCTGGCCAGAAGCAACCATGTGGCCAGTGTGGAAGCAGGTGTCAGCCAAATGACAGCCACTCTCTTGAAAGCCAAGTTTTTTTGCAACCCTTTAGTCCATCCACCTACAGGCTTCCTTCTCAAGCACCCAGAGAAAGGTGACATCAGATTGCATTTCACTTTTGGAATGCTCTAGCAACATCCACCAAGAATGATTTTGATATGTGGCAACAAGCCACTGGTTGGAACCACAGCAGCATGGCACTTATGTTAGATCCAGCCTTGAAAGCCATGGACTTGCTACAGCCTTGCACCCAGTTCACCCATGATTATATGCATGGAGTCCTGCAGGGAACTGGTCCAATCGTCCTCTTTCACCTCATTTCTGCCATGGAGGAGATCCTCCACATTTACCAATTTCTAGAAGGCTATTTTGCCCATTGGGTTTTTCCCAAGAGTTGGAAAAGCCAACACATTGGCAGCTACTTTTCCAAGAAAAAATGACCAGCCATAAGCAAAATGGGAAAAAACTTGCCAGGCTTCTGAGTGTTTGGCCATG